ACAGATGGATGGAATGATGGATGAACAGATGGATTGATGGATGGATGATCTATCCATCCATCCTCCATCTATCTGTTCATTCAACCATCCATCCCCATCTATTTGTCCATCCATCCATCTATGATAGATGGATGATAGATGGATAGATGATCTATCCATCCATCAGTACATTCATCCATCCATCCATCCATCCATCGAACAGAGAGCTTTGCCTTACAGCTCAGCTCCCTCTTCACCACAACGGACCGGCACATAGTCCACAGTACTGCAGACGCTGCACTGATTCGTCTGTCAATCTCACGCTTCATTCTTCCCTCACTCGTGAACAAACCCCCGAGATACTTGAACTGTTGGATCTCTGGGGTGGATCCTCCAACGCAGAGATGTTCTGCTTCCCAAAGTCACCTGGTCCTGATGGTGAAAGGTGTGGGAGGAGGTGCGAACTGAACAGAAGAGAGTGCTTCATAAGAATTAGTTCCCTAAAACAGAAAATAAATCTTTCTCTGTTTAAAATGACACCGCTCTCACTAAACTCCGACTGAACGTTCCTGAAAACTGTTTTTCTGTGGTGGATCTTTAAAATGATTCGATGAAGCAGCGGACAGGTTGATTCAAATATCTGTCGTCTAATTAAAACATGGAATGTTCTTTATTCATTAATCATTAAGTTTAACAATCCTCTCAGTTAAACTTTCACTCTTTTTGAACACAAATATAAAACAGGTCCACGTTCAATAAAAGTCTTTCAACTCCCTCTGCAGCTGAACCGTCTACAGACTGTTAGCAGCCTCGGTGATCGTCTTTACGGATGAACGATTCAGAGGCGGGTGTGTCCTGCTTTCTTCTCCCAGCTGTCGCCCCCCCCATCTTTCTGAGCATCGATGAGGGTGGGGCCCCAGAAACAACAAGACCCACAAAGAAGAAGCAGAACCAGACCAAAGAGGTCCAGGTGGGATCCAGGCTGAACGTGATCAGACAGGTGACTGAAAGTTGATCGGTGCTTTTAGATGAACGAACACGTTTTAAAACAGACGTTAATAAATCAGACGACCTTTAGTTAAAGAAAACCCCACAAAGGTCACTGAAATAACTTGAAACTGACAAAATATATATTTTTAAATAAAAGCAAACACAGTCGCTGCTTTTAAGTGTTGGTTCACCGGAGTTAAAAATAAAACAAAAAGTAACGACACCGGACCTGAGGAAAATATTTAGTTGCACGGCCTTCGAGCCAATCGAGACATTTCTGTACGAGACATCTGCACCTGTCCAGGTGTTCAGGTTCCTCCAGATGTTTCAACTCCTTCCACAGATGTTCAGCAGGGTTTAGATCAGGGCTCATCTTCACAAGTTTTGTGTTTTGGGTCATTAACTTGCTGGATGACCTTTGACCTGCTGAGACCAAACGTTCGGACACTATAGACGACATTTCATTGAACCCTGGGGGGTCTGACTAATTTACAACATGCACTTTGGGACATTGGTAGAATATTATACACTTTACTGTACACTGGAAGAAAAAAACTCAAAATGCACCTGGTCCAGAGGAGGCACGGCAGGTGCACGAGCACCACCTAAAGTTTAAACGTGTCTCTGGTTTGCACAGAAAATCATCATCATCACCTTTAACCAGATAAAACCCACTGAGGTAGACTTGACCTGACCAGGAGGTCAACAGCACATAATCAAAACAACTAACAGGATAAAACTCATCATTTTACCCACAAAGACAGGTTTTAATATTAAAGTGCACGGGCATAAAAATGATGTTAACACAAACAGCGGTTAACATTTTGTCTGTGGGGAAAATGTTTAAATGAAATTTCTTAGTATTAAAAGCAAAACTCGTTTAATCTGTTGTTTGATTAACTCTTGATACTTTTTTAATGCATTATAAATTAATTATTACAAAAACAACACCTAGTTTTAGCTGAACTCCTAAAGTGAAGCACATTTGAGGTCGTTTTGATATTTTTCAGGTTTTACTGCTGCAATGACCAGAAGTGACCGACAGAGGGCGACAGCGCATTTTACTGCCTCCTTTGTTTCCTGATTAAAGCTTTAAATTATAATAAAAACTGTTAAATTTACAAGAAGCTTTAGAGTTATTTTGGAGGAAAGTGTGTTTTAAACGTCATATCTGTCTGATTTAATTGTTGCGCAAAGCATGAATAAGTTTGTTGAAGTTAACCGTTTTTATATTTTGTGTTTAATAAATAAAAGCCGTTTTAATTTAAAGGTCTTTACAAGCTGAATGTGGACAAAAGCCACGAAGGCGTGAGCGCAGACAAAAGATGCGCGGGGGGAGGAGGAGGGGGTGGAGGCCGGGCGGCAGCGGGAGGGTGGGGGCGCTCAGCCGGTGCGTCCTCCTGCTGCAGCCGCCATGCTGCCGCTCGTCCCCGCCGCTCCGCTCCGCGCATCCCGCTCCTCCGCAGCTGGAGCCCGCCGCCGCCGCGTGCGCGAAACCCGGGTCGACGGAGCGGCACGGTCCGGGGAGGCTCGGTGGTAGGCGGTTCTGCCCCGTCCGGATCCACCGGAACTCGGAACCAGGAGGAAGGGAGGGGAGGAAGAGGAGAAAGTCTCCTTAGCAACAAACCGGCTTCACGGTGGGTACCTCCCTGACGGTGTCAGCTCAGATCAGGGCGGATTGATGGATGGAGTCCAGTCGTTTACGGGATGAAAAGAGACCCACATGTCAAAGTTTTTATTCATTTCACCATTTCTTCTTTTAAAGCCTCAGAAACATTCAGTCGAACTGGTGTACCCACATGTCTGCATATTGCAGGGACATGTCCTAAAATGTATAGAAGAACCTCTTTTGCATGAGTTGTTGCACAATATTCGATGCAGACCTTTTAAATTAATTTACATCCTTTACAGTTAGAGAAGGCGACTGTGCCAGGTGTGTCAGTGTCCTGTCAGAAAACCACGTGAATGTCGTCTCTTTTTGTCATCAGGCATGGCAGGAACGCCAAGGACCCGGCGAGATTAAACTGTGGGCGAGACACAACGACCCGAAACAGTCCAGATCAGTTGGATTATGGCTCGTTGACGTGGATCGGCCAGGTCTACTCAACAGTGTTCTGGCTTGCCGAGGCAGCTGAGGTTGCGATGGGGTCACTGAGACTGCAGTAAAGTCACTGCAGGGACAACTGTCAGGCAGAAGAATGGCTTCTACAGGAATATTCACTCAACTTGGGAAATCTAAAATACTGCAGAAGTCTTTGTTCTGATGTCTCTGGATTGGAGCACCTATCAAGTATCCAAATCCATTGTTCCTGCAAAGAAAGGGTCCAAACCACTAAGTACACCGTATCCTCAAGTATAAAGGTATTCCTAAACTACATTGGTCCTAATTTTATTCGAATTGTACTAGAATTACAAACACTTAAAGGGATTTCCATGGACTACCTGTCTACAGATCATCTTAGAGAGAGCTTTACCCTTGAAGACTACAAGTACTTCCTCCTGAGCTGATCCTGGACTCCACAGGATTAAATTGTTTTCTTCAACTAGAAGATGAGTTTCGTTTTGCACAAACTTTCCTGAAAGCTACTGGACCGTCAACATGTCTCTGAGTAAGACCCTCGAGTTGGAGCATTTCGACGAACGCAATAAGGTTCGCCGAGGACGAACCCCTCGAGCGAAGAGAGATGACTCCACTGGCAGTGGTGGGGGGTCTGGTCCAAGTTCCAGGGGCAGCAGCCTGGTTCCCAGTCCTGCTCACAGCGCCAACTGTAGCTATTATCGAACCCGGACCCTGCAGGCCCTCACCTCAGAGAAACGTGCCAAAAAGGTCAGGTTTTATCGCAATGGGGATCGGTACTTTAAGGGCCTGGTGTATGCGGTTTCCAGTGACCGGTTCCGGTCCTACGACGCCCTGCTGATGGAGCTCACACGATCACTAGCAGACAGCCTACACCTGCCGCAGGGAGTGCGCACGATCTACACCATAGATGGCAGCAAGATCACCAGTATGGATGAGCTGGTAGAAGGTAAGACTAACTCCGTTCAATCAAACCCAAGGTCGTGTTCGAGTTGGTCTTCAGTTTTCCAACGTTATCGCTAAATTAAACAAACCGCCTGGTGCTTTCAGCTTTATTTTCTCCTTATAAAGAATATTTATTGTTCATTGTATTCAGAATTTGCATAAAATTATTAAAAACAAATTTCATTGTAAAATCCAGCTCTTGCCCTAAAATATTTCTGAATAATTAGAGTTATGGTTGTTTAAACTTCTGCTTTAATGCAAATTGTGTTTCTGATTAACATCTCACCATCTCTTGCCTTCATGGCCAAACTATGGAAACATGCAGGAAATATAGATGGATGGATGGATGGATGGATGAATGGATGGATGGATGGATGGACAGTTGGATGGATGGATGGAAAGATGAATGGATGGATGGATGCATGGATGGACAGTTGGATGGAAGGATGGATGGATGGATACAGTTAGATGGATGGATGGATGGACAGATGAATGGATGGATGGATGGACAGTTGGATGGATGGATGGAAAGAAGAATGGATGGATGGATGCATGGATGGATAGTTGGATGTAAGGATGGATGGATGGATACAGTTAGATGGATGAATGGACAGTTGGACAGATGGATAAATGCATGGATGGATGGACAGTTGTATTGAAGTATGGATGGATGGTCAGTTGGATGGATGAATGGATGGATGGATGGATGGACAGTTGGATGGATGGACAGCTGGATGGATGGACAGTTGGATGGATGATTGGATGGATGGACAGTTGGATGGATGGATGCATGGATGGACAAATGAATGTATCTATGTATGGATGAATGAATGAATGGATGGATGATGGCTGGTTGGATTGATGGGCAATTGGATAGATGGAGGGATGGATGCAAGGACGGACAGTTGTATGTATGGATGGATGTATGGTTGGATGGATGGTTGGTTGGTTGGATGTATCTGGTTGTCTTGATGATTTTGTAAATCAGTAGAAGATGAATTAATGAACTAAATGCCTGCAAAATAAAATCTTCGTTGGCTAATATAAAAGGTGGGCAATCATGTAAATGTTTGACTGTTAGCAAAATATCTCCTGAACCACTGGATGGATTTGGATGAAATTCATGGAAAGTCTTGGGATGTTCTTCGACTGGTTGTAACAGAATTATTAAACGTTTTAAACCGTTTTAACGACACGAAACAAACGAACCAAACACGAGTATTTGCTGCCAAGACTCGTTCTGACCGAGTTGATTAAAATCAGCAGAACTCTGGAATCATTTGTTGCTGCATCAATCGTTTTTTTGTCCATTGCTGCTCATGAAACCTCCCATCATGCATCATGTTTTACACCAGTTAACTCGACCGATGGACGGTCACTTCCTGTGCTCATCACTTCCATCTTTAACAGGAAGTGGACTCCATCCTGTGTCTGTTTCTTAAGAGTCCTAATAAATGTCAGAGGAAATGATTCTCTCTGATCTGGGTTCAGTCTGTTCGTCTCCTCCCGCCTGAAGTGATTGAAGACGAAGCCGAGCAGCTCCTGAGTAACGTCCATTCATCGTTTTTATTCACGGGGGACTCCTAATGTCCACTAATGAACCTTCAGCTGCAGGAGGACGCTCAGCCGAAGATGCTCTGAACGACAGATGCATCACTCCGAGGCACTTAACGCGCCGAGTGGACAGATTTAACCTGTGAGTCCAGAGCCGGGAACACATTCTTTATAAATCTCTCTTTAGCTGTTTTACAGCTCAGACGGCCGAGCTGAGCTTTAGCTGATTGACAGGCCTAATTGTGTGTCAGTCCCATTCTAATAAACTTAATAAATAAATAAGCTAACGCTAAGCTAAGGCGGGCGACATGCATCCCTTTAAGGACTTCGAGCTGCAGAGACTCGTACATTAGAAGAATGAAAAAGTTCAGACTCTCCTCTTTTTTTTTAAAACAGCAGGAATCAGACGGAGGCGGCGTCCCTGTTTTAATCTTCTTTCTTTTTTTAATCCTCGAGTTATTTGAATAAAAGCCCAGCAGGCCTGTCCACCTGGTTTGAATCCCACAGAGAAACTCAGCACAACAGACAAGGTCACCCCCCCCCCACACACACACACACACAGAAGATAAAAGGTGTGTATTTAAAGGCTGTAGGCAGAAACAGGAAGTGTGTGATGTAATCACAGACACATCGGTGAGGTGTTAGCTGTCATCAGATTTTCACCTCGTTTGGTTTGTTCGGCTCATCTAGTTTTTATTTTTTGTGTGAGTCACAGTTTTTTAGCGTTTCAGTTCTTGTTCTCTGCTCAGCCTGACCTCATCCAGCTGCCCCTTTTTCAGACTTCATTAAAGCCCCTGGAGCTCCGCCTCACTGCAGCCATTTTGACTCGAAACAAGTATGAAGAGTAAGTATTTTACCTGCAGCAGAAAGCAGTCAGAGCCATCTGCGTTTGGAGAATCTGGGAGAACTTCTCGTTAAGGAGTCGTTACTTTGAGCCTTCTGCCACCATAACTCAAACCTTCACATTAAAGGGATAGTTCAGATCTTTTAAAGTGGGGTTCTGCTGAAAGAGCATAGGAAGATCCTGGAGAAACTTTCACGGAGACTGCCGCGTTGCGACCATTTTAAAATTTAGGTTTGACGGTACGGTGTGTTGGGGTTCACTCTCAGCTACCATCAAACCAAATTTCAGCTGAATATAACAAAAAAACAATGAGTTATAGTAATTTTTTATTTTAAGCTATGGTAGCCATCTTGGATTTTTGATTTGGATTCAGTTTGTGATGGGGAACCTTTTCAGCTACAACCACGACAAAGTTCAGCTCTGTGTGTGTGAAAATAACAGAATTAGAGGCGTTTAAATTTAGCTTTGGTGGCCATTTTGGATTTTTGATTTGCAATCGGGATCCATGAAGCATCACTCTCAGCTACCACTACACCAAGTTTTAGATAAATAACTCTAAAAAATGCTGCATTTCAAGCGTATTTGACTGATTAACCCGTAAACTCCTGTTTGTCTCCGCGCAGGTGAGTGCTACGTTTGTGCCTCCAACGAGCCTTACCGGAAGGTGGATTACACAAAGATCTCCATCCCCAGCTGGAAACCCGGCGCCAGCACCGGGACCGCCGCTTCCAGCTCGAGCCGGACCTCAACGACGTCCACCGGAGTGTCTACGAGCGCCGCCCCGGCCTTGAAGGATCGTCCTGAGGGTCGGGAGGGCAGAGAGAGCAAAGACTTCATCAAACCCAAGCTGGTGACGGTGATCCGCAGCGGCGTGAAGCCTCGCAAGGCCGTGAGGATCCTGCTGAACAAGAAGACGGCTCACTCCTTCGAACAAGTGCTGGCCGACATCACGGAGGCCATCAAACTGGACTCTGGGGCCGTGAAGAGGCTCTACACTTTGGATGGGAAACAGGTGAGATCTTACCAACACAGTCCATGCTCAGTAATCCAGGTGTACAATCCAACAATTTTCAAGGCGAGATCTTATGTGTGTTTTCTGATTCTGAAACAAAGATTGGAAAAATCTCCACAAACAAAGTACTACAATATAATTAACAGTGTGATGGTCTATTTATGGTCTCTTTGGAAATTTTATCTTCTTCTGGGACCGATTTCTAAAGGTCAGGAGCAAAACCAGCTTCTGATGATGTGACGTTGTTTCGCTGCCAAAGTCCAAATATAAAGAATAAACTCCGTAAATTAACCGAATACGGTAAACTACAGGTTCTGTGTTAAAGACACGGTGAATTCTGGTATTTTGTACATGTTCCACTGGTAAGTACACAGAAAAGATCCTCCGCAGAACGCCATGGGGCGTGTCATCCCTAAAGTGGGAGGGTCCTCCTGAACGAGTGGGTTGGACTCGTAAATTGTCATCGATCCGATCCACAAGTTCAGTTCCAAAATCAATAAGAGCTAGCTACGTTTTCTATCAGCAAAAAGCTAAATTATAAACAAAATCCCTTCTCCGTACTCTGACATTTATTTAAGGTCGTTATTAAAAGGGTAATATCTGATGTAAAGTTTAGAATAAAGTTCAATTTTAAATATTTGAAATAACGAGTAATGAAATGTCAAAAGAAGAATTTACATTCTTACAAATACTAATGGGAACAGTCACGACCCACCTTAAAATAATCACAAAGGAGCCATAAGAGTTAAAAACAGTTCACTGCTGCAAAGATGAACTGTAAAAGAACAAATCACGTTGTAGTGAATAATTAATTAATGTAAGTAAGTTAGCTCCTCCTCTGTGGTTTGGACCAATCATGTTCCAGTCTAATCTCTTTGCATTATTTGTACCGTAGGCATCGCAACAAGTATATGTGAGGGGACGTGTCCCCCCCCCACACACACACACACACACATTTACCATGAAATATTAGCTCACCCAGCGCTGTTTATATTTCTTCGTGATCCATTTCACTTGATTAAAAGGAGAATACCCAAATCACTGAAAATCCACTCCGTGTTTTCCTGGTTACAACAATTCCACACTGCATGCAGTGTTTAACCGCGGTCATCTGCCTTGGCAGGGCGCTCACGGGTGGAGGAAGGGGAGACACCGCTTTTCTGGGTGCTAGCTTAGTGCCACATTAGTGCTGGCAGCTGTTGACGGGGGTGGGGGGGTTAGGATGTGTTAGAGAAGTGGAGCGCTACATCTGTAGCATCTTAGCTATATTAGCTTAGCATCTTACCTGTATTCTGCGCCACTAGCTTAGCGCTATTTTAGTTCTAGCAGTTGTTGACACGGGAAGGGGGGGGACTAGGATGCGTGAGAGAAGCAGAGCATGCTCTATTCACACAAGGAGAGCTGTTGGTCAGGCTACTCTAAAATAGTTGTTGAATCATGTGTTTACTTATGTAGGTAAACATAGATGTTTAGCATCCTGTTAAAATACACCAGAATGCAGGAAATGGCATCTACTTTATTCAATTTTTTCTGGGGGAGGACCCCCAGATGCCCCCCCCCCCCCCAACCAATGTGTCCCCCCCACATTAAAAATGCTTCTGACGCCAATGATTTGTACCACTCATGTTTTTTAGGTCAACCCTCTCCCTTGCTCTCCATTTAAGAGGAGTCTCCTCCCCTTCCTTCACGTCTCCCCAGGTCATCGCCCGGCTGATATAAAAGGAGCACGCCCACTGTCAATCACAGTCCAAAATAACTTTTAAAGCAGCAAATAACTGAAACTAAACGTTTAATAAAAACATATTTAAATGTACAGTTGAACTGTACGAGCTATGTTAGGAAAACCAAAAACAACACTAAAGAACTTGAAATGTACTTTTATTTTTTTACTCATGAAAGGGTCTCATTTGATTATATGGAGGGGCGGGGCTTAAACACCGGACTGCGTCTTACCTAGGAGGGAGGTGCTCGACCTTCGTGGCTTCAACTTCCAGGTTCTGGTCCTATGTCTAGTTATGATAGATGCTAATTGTTTGAATTTCTGTAAAACACTGAACACACTGTGCATGTACATATTGTTTAACTCACTTTAACTTTTATCCTGGAGACGTTTGAGCAGTGGAATTGTGGCATCGTGTTTATTTAAGAGCTGGTTTCCAACAAGTGAAGTAGAATCCATGAGGAATCCATCGGACTGCAGAAATCAAATCATAGCACGTCACAACAGACTTCTGGCAGAGCTGACTTTAATTTGGAGTTATTTTAATTTGAAGTGTGTTTGAACTCGTCTTGTGGAGTTCGGTGCTGGAAGCTGTGGAAGTGCAGCAGTCAGCTGAACGAAAGTCATTAAATACTCTGAAAATGTTCTGATCCGCTCTGAAATGCTGCTCTGAGCTCGTTTCGGGTTGAGGATTAAAACTTATCTCACCCTGACGGACTCAGCTTCTTTTCACCTCGTGTGTACGCGTTGGAGCGTGCAGGCTGAGGATGACGACGGCAGCGAGCTGAAGAGAAGCAGCAGAAAGTTTGTGTCGTCAAAGCGACCGCAGGACGTTTGTTGTTGTGAACGCAGCTCACATTTATGTACAAACATCTCCGCTGCGCTCACACACACTTTAAAGCTGCAGACACACAACAGCTGCTTCGGCTTTGAGAAAATAAAAGCAAAAGCCGCTTTAGTTGCCTTCAAAATAAAAGCATTCATGAATGCAACCATGTTTGAAGTTTTAAAACTGTTTTTATTTACGTTGACTTTTTTATCACGTTTAGTTCTTGAAAATATTTCTTTAAAATCACCATTTTGTAAGGTAACTAAAACTTTAGGAAAAGCGAGTTTCCAATTTATTTTATTTTATTTTGCAATCATTGAACGTAAAAAAAAATTGTTTTTGTTTTTGAGCTCAACCTTCAGATTAACTTATTTAAATCTAACCGTTTAATTTGCATATTCTTTTATTCCTATTTTTTTTGTGACAGGAAGTCACATCCTTCAAGAAAACAACCAACTCTTTCTTTTTTTGTGTTAGTCTGAAAATTTTATGTTTATTAATTTGTTGCAGCTTTTATTTTGAAGTCAGCAAGCCAAAACGAGGGCTTTTATTCTCTCGGTCTTTCAGAACCCCTGACTCTGGCGCTGCAGTGCGTTGTTGCCATGGTAACCACTCCTCCATTACCTCCCGGTTGCTACGGACCGACACACGAGGAATGTTTGGTCCGGTTCCGGGATCCTTTAAGGGGCGTTTGTTGCCATAGCAACAGGACTACATTAAAATTCCTCAGCAGTTGCTCTGGGTTTCTTTTTTAATTCAGTTTCACGTTGAAAGTTTAATTATTTTTCTTTTATTGGGCCCAGAAGGTCCCGCGCAGATAAATCCTCTCCTCTCACAGGGAGTTCTGGTCCGGATCGTGGCACGAGTGGAAACGAGGAACGATCAGAGAAAATCTGAAGAAAAATAAACTGGACGAGACCAAAAGATTTCACTAAAAGTTAAAACTAAGAAAATATCCAATTGTAGATAAAAAAAAACCTTTAACATGTCAGCTGGAGTTCAGCTGGAGAGGTAGGACTCAGGAGGCCAGACCGACATGAGGAACTAAAAAAAACAACTTTATTAACAAAACAAGAGATGACAAAAAACAACAAAAAAGAATCAACCTGAGGAGATAAGAAGGAGACCTGGACATGGCATGAAGCACCCACGATGCTCCACTACAGATGGATGAGAACTGAGAGACGGTGTGGGCGGGGCTGAGGACTGAAGACACCTGGAGACAGGTGAGAGTGG